TGGCTGTTCTGTCTTTGAAACTGTCGAGCGGGGGGAGAGGAGGGGGAGGGGCGACGACACATACGCGCTTTTAGATAGATTTTTACCCAGAATGCAAATGGAAAAAACCGTGAGTGAAACGGTGACTGGGACTGACTAGTATATATTCCATTGAGGGAAAGTTAGTATCACATCTGCTCAAGAGCCCCCTGGTGGTTGAAGAAAAATCCACATATAAACCGGAAAATACAATATATGAAAAAAAACACTGAATGCTCTCTGGTATGAGGAGGCGGGCCGGATCCGGCATTGTTCAGGGGGCCGGACCAAACGACGTGGCGGGCCGAATCCGGCCCGCGGGCCGTAGCTTGGGGACCCCTGGTTTAGATCAAAGAATAGCCATATGTCAACATGGCCTAGTCAAAGTCCAGCTTAAGCTGCTTTCCAAAGTAAAATGGCTGAAAATTTCTGTTTCTCGCTGTTAAAAGATGCTCTAAAAGATTTGCATAATTGGAGCAAAATGTGGTAAATTATTGAGTCAGGAGAGGTTGAACACCATTGCACACCACACTTTTCAGATTTTTGTAAAAAAAAACACAAAAAAAACAGCATGTATTGTTTTCTTTTTGCTTTACAAAGAAAGAAAACCTTTGTGTTGATTTCAATCAAATTAAATAGCAGTAAAATAAGCTGAAGTTTGCGCATCCAATGCGAAACAACATGGACGACCTTTATTATTTCTGGAAAAAGTCCCAGGAAGCTCCAGGCAATCACAGCCGTCTAAATAAATCCTGTTCCGCAATCAGACGAGTGGCTTAGCGTCCAAACAAACGTGCAGCCATGTTACAGATTTAGCCCTCATGTGAACGAGCAGCAGGTTGTTTTGGACAGAATTTACTGCCAGAACAAGAGCGAAACTTTCCACGCAAAGTATTAGAGCTGCTGCTAAATAAAAACAACAAATCCTGGGACTCAAACATTTATCCAAATGCCAGTTATGTAACAGCCAAGGTACCCGCAGTAAGTTTGGGCCTAAGCCTGGATGCTCCTTTTATCTCCAACCCCGACCGGTCACCAGTTAATCTGATGTTCTTTAAATCTTCGTTTTGTCTTCGTCAAATTCAGGATGTGAGAGTCATTTCTGAGAGTTTTGGACAAAAAAAAACTTAACTTTGCTCATACGGATTTGTTTCCATCATTACTTAATATAAAGACAACATATAAGACAACTCCATGAGTTTTATGGTGCGTTCACACCTAAAGCGTTTTGAGCGTGAGGCGCATCTGGTTTCCATTCAGAGTCTGTGTGGAGGCGCGACGAAGGCCACTGTGGTGCGTTTCGAGCGTCTAGCCGAACCGTTTGGAGTGTCAAGAGCGTCCAACGAACATCGAGGGCTAGAGCCAACGCGTCTGATGCGCCTCCACATAGACTTTGAATGGAAACCAGATGCGCAAAAATGCTAGGTGTGGAGCAAAATGTCAGCCGTCTGCATTCAAAGTGCAAACGCATCGAACTTGAAGCGTCAGACGCGCAACGCATTTTGGTGTGAGGTCACCATTAGCTAGCCTCAAGTGAAACGTCTGGAAGTAAGAGGGCAACTTGTTACAGTTTCTGCAGATGTTCTGGATTCATTGATGGACGTGTTGCAGCGTCCGGAAACACTCACCACAGTGTGACCACTCTGGGGGTCATTGGCGGCTGGGGGATCCCGTACATCCTGGCCAATCCAAAGTCAGCTGAGCCGAAGAGAAAAAGAGAAGGACGGATGAACAACCAGAGCTGCAGAAAGTTTATTTCTAAACTTGCCAACAGGGAACAAAAAAAAATCCTAGAAGCTCATTAAATATGCAGAGAGAGGAAACAAGCAAACACTAAAACTGATCAAAAAATATGGCGTCACAAGCCGTGAAATAAATGTATACGTTCTTGAAGTAACATAATTTCGCACTGGAGATGATATTCATCAACTCTGAACTTTAATTTAGGTCCTGCAATAAGGGAGACAGGGATTAGCCAGAGAAGCTGCTGCAGCGGTGTTGGTGGTAATGTTACCGCATGGACTCACCGATCTTAACGCAGCCTTTGTCGGTCATCAGCAGATTAGACACCTTCAGGTCCCTGATAACGAGATAGAGCAGATTAATGAGGCCGCTGCTCTCAGCTGCGGCACATCTTCGGTCCTTACGTTTTTATTTTTATTTTTTTAAAGCTCACTGTTTGCACACAGCTTCACGTCTTCGCTCTTAGAGATTAGCGGCTTAGCCTGCTATGTTGAGCTGAAAGCGAAAGTTTTTGGCATTACGTGGGTGGATCTATTTGAACCTCGTTAGATCATTAGTGTGACTCAGGCTGAACTCATCGCCTGCTACATGTCGGGGTCAGAGTTCACAGCTTAAGCTACCTCAACAAAACGTTAGCAGCTCACTGGCTCTGAAACATTTATATCCTCAGACAGATATTTTGTTTATGCTTGTATGTTGATCATTTAAAAATGTATAATAGAAAAATAAGCATATGGACCCTTTAAAAGATAGTCTTAACCATAAACTTGGCGTGCTAGGTGGCGTAACGTGTTTGGTGTGAACGCACCATTAGAGAAACAATCATCATTACGCTGCCATCACCATACTTCAACATGGGTGTGTTGTATTCAGGGTGATCTGCAGCATTACCATTTTGCGTGCAAGCCAGAAAATTGAGTTTTGCAACCCAAACCGGGTTTTAGCAGACAGCAGAGGAGGATTTATTCTAGCCTTACGTTTTTTTTCTTGCCACCCGTCCATAAAAAGGTCAGAATCAAGGAACGAACCACTAAAAGTTATCCTGTGGATCTCTGCAGCTCCTCCATTGTTAGCTGCTTCTCTGATCAGAGTAAAGGAAACCAAATAGAAATGTCTTCTTATTTGGGGAAAAAAACAAAACAAAAAAAACAAACTGAACATATATTAATTTCCTTCCACCTCTCAATTGTGAACTAATTTGAGTTGCTCAAACAGACACATTTTGGAAAGCTTCAGGTTGTGTGAATCCTCTGGACGACTCACCTGTGTATAATGAAGCTGTGATGGAGATACTCCAAGCCTCTGAGCAGCTGAAGGACAATGCACTTCACCTGGAGGAGAGAGGAAATATCTTCAAACAACAGATGGGAAATGCACATGTTGACTTTATTCTTCTCTTTTAAGTAGTTTCATTTTTAGATATTCTTTGATCGTCTTCAAAAGGCTGAAAGATTTCATGAACATATTTAACTATTAACAGCCATCTGTCATTTTCCAGATGCCCTCCATGAGCGTCAGCGTCTCAGGCGCTAAACCGCATTAAACATTTCACAACAACAAAGGACCACATGCATGAGCGGCTATAGTGGTGGTAGTCATGGAGCAGATTACAACCCCTGGCAGTTAAATCCTAATCTAAATGGAGTAATCTCCCCAATCAAGTGAGCCATCCACCACTCCCCCTGGTCTACCCAGGCTGGTTTGGACTTAATGATGTATAAACCACTAAAAACAACAAAAAAATATTAATTTCCTATCAGATTAATATCAGATAAAATACAACAGGTTAGTATAGACACAAAAACACAGGCTCGGTTTTAATATAAACATTTAAGTGTAAAGGTAAACCGAGATCTCTAGAGGTGTGAAACTGTATGGTGAGCCAGAAAGAGAAACACCGAAACTTTTCGGTACGTACTCGTACCCAGTTTTTCAAAACTGTTAAACATGTTTGAAACGAATGCTTAATAACAAAGCAGTGAAGTAAATGTGTGATTATTGAAATAATTAAAATAAAGAAAAAAAAAACAACAATAAGAAGTAACAGAATTTTACCTGAGCTTCAGAGAATGGTGTCTGCATGTTTTCCAGCAGACTGGCCAGGTCCTGTTCACAGTAACTCATCACCAGAAACAAACTGGAAGAAAGACAAACTTGTACTTAGTTTTTCTGCACATACTTTTTCCTTTCTTGTTTAATTTGTCAAGTCAGTCTTATATTTTCACACACATTAGGTCTGAATGATTTTAGAACCTACTTGTCTAGCATACGAAACAGCATCTGGCTAATTCAACCACTGTATGACGCCATTCAATTTAAATAATTTATTTATACAAAGGAGTATTTTAAGTAGATTGCTGTTGGCTCTGTATAAAAACAAGTTTTAGTGGGTTAGTACCTCTCCAGATGGCTGCCCACCACCACCTCTTTCAGCTCCACGATGTTTGGATTTCTCAACCTCAGCAGCAGTGTTATCTCTCTCAGGCTGCTGATGGGAATGCCTGACAGAAAAAATTAAATACTTTAAGAACTTCGTCGTATTTGTACAACTTATAATGATCGAGGGTGAACTTTTCATTCATTACACCCCTTGAATAGTTGCAGATATGTCCTGAATTACATTTGTAGCAGTAAAATGTCCTCACCATCCTTCTCGTTGTCCATGCGGACCTTCTTCAAAGCTACTATCTCATCCGACTTGGTGTCACGGGCTCGGTCTGAAGGAAGAGGAGAAACCGTTCAGTTAATCGACGGGTCGGATATAGTCGATCTGAGTCGATCTAATGTGTCGGCCAAACTCACACACAATGCCGTATGTTCCTTCTCCTATTCGGTTGAGTTTCTCAAACTCCCTGACACTTCGGCAGCTTCCAAACTAAAGGAATTAAAAATAAATGTTGAAAAACGTACTTGGAAAATACTGGGTAGCTCTGAAGGACTGGACTTTTCCCAAGTATGTTTTTCTTTTTTCCTCCCTATGTTGCTGTTTTAACACGTTGCAGCATATGCCGATAATTACCACATCCTACGTAGATGTATAAAACACTGTAAATTATATCTTGTACGATCCATTCCGTCAAATATATATAGTTTCACTAAAATTAGCCAAGTCGAGAACGAGGTTCGGCATTGTTTCCAGCATTCATCCACTCACCCTGTCATTCTGGGGCACTGTGAAGGTTTTCTTGTCTTTAATGGACTTCAGCTTTATCGAGTCCGGTTCATCCTCGCCGACGGCGTCCATTCTCTGAGTTTTTAAAAGGTTTTGCAGCTCAGATGAGAAGAGAGGCGCCAGGTAGGACTTCCAACAAGCATGGCGCCGTTGTAGTTTGTTTTGTGTCCACACGGAGGACAACAAAGAGCTTTCACGGAGTTTGCGGCCATTTAAATCCTTTCCATGAGTGTCAGTTTTGGAGTTAAAAATAAATATCTACAGGGAAACTAATCAGAAAGAAAACAAATTATTTATTTAAACCGTACAAAACCGAGGCAGTTGTAGACATATGAAAAACAGTCTACGTGATTATTTTTCTATCTCAGTTAAATATGTTGTGGTATATTTGCACACTATTTGTAGACGTTTTTGTTTTGAAGTCATTGCTTTAGCTGCAGCTCGGAGTTGTTAAATTACTTTATAACAAAAAGCTTATAAGTTCCATGATCCAACAAATAGATATTTTGTTAATGTTCATTTAACAAATGAAAATAAAAAATAATTATTACTTAATAATAAATGATTATTATTGATGTTAAATAACTCTTAAATGATGAAAACAATTATTGTTTAACCTTACGGTCGTTCTGTGTGAAATTTATTTACAATGGTTTCAGTATTTATTTCCTGTGCTAAAGCTCATAATCATGCAAGATAGATTACTTTCTCATTTACTCTTCATCAAGTCATTTAATACTTTTCAAAAATCAAAGTATTTTATAAAAATGTGTTTATTTAATGTAATAAAATTATCACCTAATATATATGCATCTCTCTCTCTCTCTCTCTCTCTCTCTCTCGTATATATCTACATACATACACAAAGGGAAACTGACCCATTTAAAAGTAAATTTCATGCTCAGTCCATCCCTTATCTTCACATTTCCACTACTGTGCATTTATGGTTTAGAAAATTATTTTATTTTCCTTCTCCACAACATGTCTTTGCTCTATGCCAGGAGGATTCACTTTCATTGCAAACAAATATCTTTTAAGTAGTACTTACATCATGTTGCATTACTGTCTGGTTGTGATTTTCCTCCCTACTACGAAAGGTGTAGAGCCAGGCCTCCGCTCTTTCATAGCATCAGCTATAGTGACGTTGGACGGCACGGCAAAGATGTCTTCTCGTGACGGAGCAGTAATGATGATGACAGGCGCGTGGCAGGAAGTGTTGGACGAATCGGTCTCAGTGTTGGGCTGTGATGAGACGTGGTTCTCTGAAACTTAAAAGGACCAAAGTTAAGATTTATAAACAGCACATTCCTAACCGGACTCACCAGGTAAAAATGAAAAAATAATCTCAAGAGTGAATTAAAAAACAAATCTGCAGACACTTTAAAGGGAGAAAAATATTTTACAGCATATTATTTTCAGAAAATCCCATCCCATCAGTGGAACATAAATAAATATCAGTGTTTGAACTAAATGACTGGTATAAAAACTGTCAGATTAAATAACCAATTAACCTCAGCAATCTAGAGACAATGTTGATTGGTGCTACTTTTCTTTTTGGTAGGCTGTGATTATTTTCTAATAAACAATAATAAAAACTAAAATCAACTGGCTGCGTAAAACTTTTCCCTGACAGTTTATCCAGAGACCAGCAGGCACTAATAAAAAAGAGCCGTAAGAGTACGTTATCAAAAGTACAGCACGGTGGTGGCTGCATCATGCTGGGAGTCTGTCTTATTACAAATGGAATCAGTGAATTGCATAAGGTGAATTATGGCCTTTGAATCCTTGAAATTTACCTCAAATCAACAGCAAGAAAGTTGAACATTGATTAAAAGGTTAAATTAATCATTTAAAGATCTAAACTGACGTGGTGATGAATGTATTTTCTGTCTGGAAGTTTATAAAAAGCAACTAAAAATGTTTTGAAACCAGTGATCTTTTGCACTGACCAATTAAGTCGAGGCATGTTTAGTTTTTACTTATTTAGATCAACTTAAAGTGAAAGATAAATCAGTTTTTTGTATTCTCCTTAGCTGTATGAACGTCTTTGTTGTTATTTTACTATCAACGCACAATTATTATATAAAAAAGTTTTTGTGTTTTGCTTTTAAGCAGATTCTGAATTTACAGTTGACATTATTCTGACCGGGGTCGCTGCTGTTTGGGACTCATTTAAACCTGATTAATGGTTTCTCTCTTCACCAGATGCTTACGCCTCCTCTGTTATGTCCTGGTACTTGCTATAAAACCAGACTGTTGACCGTCAATAGCCTGAGCCCAAAGTGCAGCTAGAGGTGATCTAAACTGCCCCCGCTGACGTACGCGTCTCCATCGGTGCGTGTTTACGCTGAGACCTGTGGTCAGGGTTCGGCAACCCCGGCTAAATTGGATTGTTCTAGATTCCAGATGGCGTCGAGACTGTACGGCTTTAATTATACGAGAAGTACCTGGTGGACACTTGTTCATCAATTACAAGAAAGAGTCCCAACGCATCCTGCATGATATAAACTTTGTGTAGATTTGAAGCTAAAATATTCACCACAAACTTGTTTTCGTACAAAAACCAATGCCGTAAGCTCCATCTCCATCAATACAGAGTCATTTTGAATTTTAACCAACTCCTAGGTTTAGATCAACAGTAGCCGCCAATTTCTTGATATTTTAAAGTTGTGCTTTTGTAATAAAAAGATCTTCTGCAACGTTGTGGGACATCTACGCTAAAGTTTACCATTAATTCTGATGCTAAAACAAACCTTTAACGCCAATAAACACAAATGGCTTTTAAACAATTATTCTCTTAATTTGTCCCTTTGGCTTTTTAATGCATCTCCAGTCTACGTAATATGTACATATACATTTGCTCACCTGAATCTTGTCTCTGACTCGCTCCAGACCCCATTGGGCTTCAGTCAGCTGTTAAAAAGTGCATACATGTCCACACGCATGACGTTCACATGCTGCCTGGTCTACAGGAAGGCAGAGTCGCAGCTCGCATTCATGCCGACCTTCCCGAGTGCCTCAGTCTGAGTGAGGGACGACTAATCCTGCGCAGTCGCTTAAGGAAATGTTAGAGATCCTGGATTTAAAGGGCAGATCTCGTTTAGGAAGTGGACACAAAAACACCACCGTGTTTCCAGGAATGCAGGAAAGCTGTGAATACAGTGATGTCTCTCTATCGAACCTTAAATAAATCGTATTCAGTTCATACAAAACTTACGGTCATCTTCTTTAATCAAAATCTTTGCTGGCCTCATCTGGCCATCCCTATTAGTTTTCTGGGGGGCTCACTGTGTGTGTATATATATATATAAATCCCTTAAACTTCCTATGACTCCATTTTGAATGATGAATATTGTGATTTTATATCACCGTCAGCTACACAAGTCATCACATTATCTCTCTTAGACTGTAATTATTTCAATGTAGTAAATTCAGTGTTTTACTTGACCTCAACTTAAACCCATTTCAGAAAACAAGCATTAAAAATCCGACTAAATTTAAACCATAATCCACATAAGTGTGCTTTATTATTGTATTACCTCTTTCTTTTTGTTGCTACTACTAATAAAAATATAGACAGAAGCAGTATTAGCAGAAAGAAAGTACTTGCAGAGATTTTTTTTGTTATTGAATATTTCCACAAATTACATATAGTCTATGAAAAATTCTATTTTTAATCTAAATTTTAATTAAATTGGCTAATTTAGGCAATTTAATTAAATTACAATATCATTACAATAATCAATAGAAAACTAAGTCCAACTGTCATTTACATCATTTTCAGATTAAACATATTTATCCTTTCTCGATGGTGCTAATCTCCAGCGGTCAGTGTTTGAGAGGCAGGTTGGACAGGACAGGTCACCAGTCCATATGCAAACATATTCATTAAAGATTTGATTTTCCTCATTTGGAAATGTGTCCTTATGCAATAAACTCTAATGGCCGTCAAGTCATGGCTTTTATTTCTTGACAAAATACCTGAAACAACGACTCTTGAGTAAGAAAGCCGACAAAAACGGATGAGCATCAACACTGAACATGAGAATCAACTTTACAAGTTTACAATTGCAACTAATGCATCCAGTTCCATCAGCGCAGGATTTATGAGTAGTTGCCGGGATTATGGCGCATTAAAAAGCTAAAATACATCTAAAAACATCAGATCAAGGATTTGAAATCACTTCACCTAAGAGGCCAGAATTGGTCAAACATTCAGGGGAAAGATAAAAGGCTCATGAAGAACAGAATGAACAGATTTTTGTTTATTCTGTCCTGTGCTTTCCTCCTAGTTTTAACAGCCGGCGACTTGAGCCTGATGTTGGGATTACAAGGATTCACTCGCCCAACGGCGAAGGTACTCCAAGTCCTCTTCATCGTCATCGTCATCCTCATCCTTGTCTTCAGCCCCGTCTTGAACCCCATCCTCACCCTCGCTTTCTCCCTCATCTTCTTCCATAGCGCCTTTGGTAAAAAAAAATAGCAACAACGTGAGAGTTCAAGTTGTATCACAAGGGAACTTTGTTGACTAAAAAAAAAAAAAAATAAAGGAAACTTTTTTTTTGTACCAGGATGAGAAGGTGAAGCCGAGGACAACACTGGAGAAGGATAGACTTTGTCCTCTTTTCTGCTGGCCTCCAAGAGGCTCTCATCCAGAGTTTTTTTAAGTCTCTCCAGCTCTGCCAGCAGCTCATCCTGATGAGGGAAAATGCATATTTTCATTCAAGGACCCCAGGAAATCTACTGTCTGAAGCAAATCAATAGTGTTTTTGACTTTTCCTGCTTTTCACTTATGCTTAGTCCAAGTTGTCGCACTGCGTATAGTGCAGGTACATGACTGAATGGAGTGAAAAAGCAGCTGAAATCCAAAAGAAAACTTTTAATCTCATCTAGAGAACATGACGAGAACATGACGGGACATGACTCTGACACAAACGTCAGAGTCGCTGAAAGCAGATATAAAGAAATCAGGGACTTTTAAACTGTACTGTAATTTTTTTTTTTTCACAGAGTAACTCACAAAACACTCTTCAGCATAAATAAACACACATCCCAAGAGATGCCACAATCTGGAAAAATCCCTTCTAACTACTCGAATTTCCAAAAAACTACAAGTTATCCTAAACTACCTCAACAAATTCGACCTGCTCCACCTCCTGGTTTTCAGACTTGTAGAGATTGCCTGACACCTCGGACATGTCATCTTCCAGTTTGATGCCCTTTATCATGTTGTTCACTTCAGTCATTTCCCTGCAAAAAATGTTACAGTCCAAGTCATGTTGTCAGGTTCCAATTACCGTATTCATCACAACAACAACAACAACAAAAAACAACAGCAACAGTAACAACAACAAAAAGAAATCATACATCTTACCTGTTTATACATTTATCTATGTAGAGTTTCTGGGGTGTGCTTTTACAAACTCCATTTAATTTTGCTTTGTAAGCAATAAGTGTTTTTGAATTGGACTGAATTGAGTTTGGCTTATTCTAAGATTTAAAAAACCAAAAAAAACAATGGGACGTAAGAATCAGTGGTGTATTTTTTAAAAGTGAGATTATCGTTTCTATTAAGACTTTTTTACTATTTATTTGATTTTATTATCATTGGAGCTTTGCAACAACATTTCGTTCAAGGTGTACGTTTTAAATGTACAACTGAATGACAATCAAGTTTGCCTATGTTGAGATTAAATTAACATGAAACACCTAAGAATGACAAGAATATTTTTTAAAATAAACACTCTCCTTTCAATATGGTTTCAAGAAAATCTGTACATGGACAATGTACAGATAAACTCAATGTTGAAAACCTAAGTTCCTTGAATTTATTCTGACTTAATTAAACCAACGCATATATTATTGATCATATTTTTCTTCTTACCTGTTTTTGGAAGCGGCTCTTGTGGCCTGAACAGCATGGTCAACATACCGCTGATGTTTCTCGTACCACCGCTTCCTTCTCAGAGCATGCAGAGCAGCTGGTAAGACAACAAATAAATAAATAAATGCGTGAATAATACAGAAATTGATCTGACTTTTGAAAGATTTACAAATGGTTTTCCAATCTTATATCATTCAAACTTTCAAAGTTTCCTTGAGAAAAAAGAATATCTTCAGTCAGAGGTTTCTTCATATTGGTTGTGATATCTTTCCTGCCAACGGCCATGAAAATGTTCAATAACTCTTTGAAGAATCTGAATTAATAAGCTACATTTAAATTCGCCTTTGTGAATAATAAAGTATTTTTGAATTTGAACATAATTTTTCCCACTTTTTGTGAATGTATAAAATGTAGCTACATCATGAATACATGATGTAGCTACAGAACAATTATTTGTCTACCATAATGAAACTATGTCAAAATGCATAAATTATATTGTCTTTTTTTACGCCATAACATTTGAATACAAACAGTTTCCAAGGAAACGCTCAAGCTATTATCATGTTAAACTTTATTTTCAACGTGGGTCTGTCACTCTAAAGTCATTAACACCGAAACTTACCTCTATTTATTAAAAATGTAAAATTAAATATCGTCCCTATTCAAATATTTACTTCACTATTTAACTTATATTAAATTAAGCTTCTCAAGTTCGGTTTATAAAAGTCGCATTTTCTTAGATAGCTAGCTTAGCTGGATGCTAGCTAGCCAACTCTTTTCAATGATTGTTTTAAATTATCATTTTATTTATTTATAAACGCTATTATAAACGTTTTTTGAATTCATGTTGGCAAGTTTTACAGTCTATAAATTTTGTGAAAAATACTTTCTCACCTCTTCTATTTGGTCCACAGTGTTTCTTGGCACACAAGAGATCGAGGTCCATGTTTGTTTCAGATTAATTTCTGTTCCAGCAACGTCCCTCTGCCTGGATGCTAACCGCTCTCTTCCTCACCAAGATGGCAGCGATGTGCTTTTCCCACGCTTTTCGACGCAGATTAGTAACTCAAGCCGTCTGTGATTATTTCTGATGCACCAAACCTCCACTTCAGATGGTAAATGTGAGTAAGAAGATGGGGAGACAGCAGGCTCGGCTCGTGGCCGCTGTAGATGTTTCTTCCACGCCACCTCTGAGTTTAAAAGAAAACATTCTCCAAAGGCGCAGCTAGCAACAGGCGAATCCTCAGAAATCAGACAATTGAGATTGTTGATCAAGCATTTAACTACTTATCGTGCTAAATATATTCTAAAAAGCAAGACCGATGCTATTTTTCTCACCGTTTTTGTTTCCCTTGTTTTCATCAGTGTTGACATTACACCACAAATCCTTTTTTATGTTTTTTCTTTTTCTTTTTTATTATTTCTTTAGGGGTTTAATTAGAATTTTAAACTTTGATTACAGTGTTCACAGTATTTCAGTGATTCTTGAGAATAGGGACAAAATGGGTTTAAATTTTTCCATATTTTTTTTTATTATTTCTTTAGGGGTTTAAT